TGCACCTGGGCAAAGCTTGTTTAATGTAAACTGAAAATCTTCAAAAGTTACACAAATCCTTAAATTGCCTAGCAGAGCCAATAGAAAAATATGGGAACCTTCCAGGACCAGAAGTAAATCAAAAGAGAATCCACAGGATTAATCACACCAAGAAGCCAGAGCTGCCTTTAGGTACTGGCTCAGCACACACACCCAAGCCTTGTGGATTTCTCACCTTGCCCCTTGTAATAAACAAACACTAGTGCTGACCGGGGCCACCCCAAATGTGAGATCTCTATTTATGTGGAACCAAATTAAAACTTCTGAAGCACACAAGAAAGTAAGCTACCAGGATAAAAGGGTCAGAAGAAATTAGACATCTAATAAATTTGATGTATTAAAAATGTGTTCAAAATATTTAAGTAAAAACACAGGGGAAAATAGAATACCAAAATAATTTTGAAGGAGCATGAAATTGTAAACTGAATAAGCATATTTGGAAAAGAACCAAATATGAATTGAATTAATGAAACATAAATACATTCAATATGAAATGTATGAGTTAAATATTAAATTAGACTGAGTCATTGATGAGAGAATCAGTGAACTGGAATTTTAAGAAATATAACTGAATAAAAGAGAATGAAAATACTAATATAAATATAATTACACATATATGAAGAATAGAATGAGAAGGAATAAGACACATTTCTTTAGAATACAAATAATGAATCACACTATTTTCATAATTATTAAATTTCTAAAATTAAAAACGAAACACAGGCTGGGTGTGGTGGCTCACGCCTGTAAACCTAGCACTCTGGGAGGCCGAGGCGGGAGGATTGTTTGAGCTCAGGAGTTCGAGACCAACCTGAGCAAGAGCGAGACCTCGTCTCTACTAAAAAAAATAGAAAGAAATTATCTGGACAACTAAAAATATATAGAAAAAATTAGCCGGGCATGGTGGTACATGCCTGTAGTCCCAGCTACTTGGGAGGCTGAGGCAGGAGGATCGCTTGAGTCCAGGAGTTTGAGGTTGCTGTGAGCTAGGGTGACGCCACGGCACTCACTCTAGCCAGGGCAATAGAGTGAGACTCTGTCTCAAAAAAAAAAAAAAAAAAAAATAGAAAAAGAAAGCGAAACACGAATCTGTAAATGTGGGAGGGCGCTGTGTCTAAAAGAGACCAATAGAAAGAAATACTCAACAGAAACAGCAAACTGCACAACACCAACGATAAGAAAGGTGAAAGTCGTGAGAGAGAAAGAACTTACAAAGGTGAAAGCAAAGTCTCTACACCCTGTGCCAAGCCAGAAAACAGAGAAATAAATACAAAGAGTGCTGAGAGAAATTATTGTTCAACCTATAATTGGATGCTTAGTTAGCATATCTTTAATAAGAATCATCTAAATTATTTTCAAAAGTAGAAAACAAATTGAAAGATTTTATTACCAATAGGAGCTTCTTAAATGTGCCCCTCAAGAAGATAAAGAAAATTGTCTTGGCCGGGCACAGTGGCGCACGCCTGTAATCCTAGCACTCTGGGAGGCCGAGGCCGGTGGATTGTTTGAGCTCAGGAGTTTGAGACCAGCCTGAGCAAGAGCGAGACCCCGTCTCTACGAAAAATAGGAAGAAATTAATCAGACAACTAAAAATATATAGAAAAAATTAGCCGGGCATGGTGGTACATGCCTGTAGTCCTAGCTACTTGGGAGGCTGAGGCAGGAGGATCACTTGAGCCCAGGTGTTTGAGGTTGCTGTGAGCTAGGCTGATGCCACGGCATTCACTCTAGCCTGGGAAACAAAAGCGAGACTGTCTCAAAAAAAAAAAAAAGAAAAGAAAATTGTCTTATATGAAGTTTACAATTCTACATAAGGAACTTGTGAACACAGGGGAATAAAATGGTAGCTATTGAACTAAAGAAACAACCAAGTCCTTAGCAGCATAGATTTTAAAACTATTTAGATATAATAAAAGTGTAATTCCACATACTTTAATTAAATCCAATATCAAACCATATGCTACATGAATAATTTGATGTCAGAATAATGTATTTTTCAGATAATTATTTTCATAATTAATTTGTTAAATATCTATGATATTCCTGTTGTATATTTTGCAAAATATTGATTATCCTTTTATCAGAACTGATTAGCCCCAAAGGACTAACAGTGGGATAGAAATTGACCATAAGACTCTGGACACTGAAGACAATTGGGTCATATGTGCATAAAAGGGTTGAGTAGGATGAGATAATAAGGTCCACCCAGTACATGACCACAAAGAAACTCACCAGCAGCAGGATGGTCTGGATGGCCCTTTTCTCTGGGGAGATGTTGGGGAGAGGCTGGTGCTGTGAAGGTGCCTGGATCACCTCTGATGCCTGAACAAAACAATCACCATGTATGCACTTGAGAAGAGCATGATTCCTACAAAGGAGACATCTGTAGGCAGTGGCAGCATAACAAACAGGCTCCTGATGATGTGGCCTATGGATGGCAATGAGGAGTATTTGCTAATAATTAGCACATTGGTTTGGGTCACATTAGAAGAAGCCACAGTAGAGAAGAGCAGACTGCTACTGCAGGACAAACTGAGAAACCAGAAGAAGAGTAAGGAATGGAAGACATAACCTGTAGATTTCTGTTTAAAGCTCACCAACCAGGAGGTGCTGGGGCTGATGGTGATGGCCTGGAGCGTGCTCAGGAGGCAGGTGGTGAAGATGGAGAAGCCCCTCATCACCCTGCTCAGGTAGAAAAATGCCTTATGCTTGAAGTTATTCTGAAAATTCAGTGACTCAAAAAGGTCTGGAGACACCAAGAACAACATAATAAGGAGCATCAGTACGTGGATGAGGGCCAGGTGACAGGTGATCTTGTCAGTGGGCTTAGGCTTGTGATCCACAAGGAGTGTGAAGATGCAGAAGAGGAGGAAGATGTTGGCTGCAAGTCCAATGCCAGCTTGAAAAAAAAAGGCATTTTGAATGATAACATAAGTATAACATGATCATCTTAATGAAGAGGAATTATATTTTATATATCTGAAAAAAAGCAATAGATCTCCCATGATTAGTGTTATTTATTCCGTAGTCAAAATTATACCAACATTATCATTTTAATTCCACCCATTTATCTTGATTAACATTATCATATAAATTCTTAAAAATACAGCTTGAGGAGTCTTTTATACACCAAATTTATATCTTCAATACACATCCACAATCACACCTGTATAGAGTATGCATTATCTCTCCTCCTATAGCACCGTGGACTCACCTTTATGAAGCATTTCTTTACTTTCTGCATTTCTTCATTTAATTTTCGCCATCCATAACAATGTGCATACTAAAATAAATTATGGGTTTTGTACAACCAAACTGAACTAAACTTTGTGCTAACAGAAAAGAAAGATGGAATCACCAAAGTATTTTTGGAAAAAAATGTTTCATTGGGTTAATCTTATACCACATCACTCTGACACTTCCTTCCTCCCTCTTCCAGAGTTGAGTATGCTTGTCATTTCATGGGCCCTATTATGACAGGGCAAATAATCTCTCTATCATAAAGTCAGTTGCATATTAACCTTGATGCCATATGTACCTTAATTTTCCTTTATTATGTTGCCTAATATATTCACAGGGTTGGGCATTACGATGTGGACATCTTTATATTATACTAACTATAGTTCCTAAAAATGGCTCTGGTTCTCTCCCAGCTTAGTTTCCATTCCAGAGACCCCCTATATAAACTCTCTTCAGGAGGAAATTTCTGCCCTCGATTTTCAAGAGAATAAACAACTTTATAGCGTCCATGAGGTTACATCAAAATGCTCAAGTGGAGATCTTTTTCTTGAGAATTCACTTAATACAGGGATATGCTTCCATGGCTTCAAAAATACTTAGGTCTCCGATAGTAAAAGCTAGTCCCATGATGTCTTAATTAAGATATTTCTGGCCGGGTGTGGTGGCTCACGCCTGTAATCCTAGCTCTCTGGGAGGCCGAGGTGGGCGGATTGTTTGAGCTCAGGGTACGAAACCAGCCTGAGCAAGAGCGAGACCCCGTCTCTACTAAAATTAGAAAGAAATTAATTGGACAACTAAAAATATATAGAAAAAATTAGCTGGGCATGGTGGCGCATGCCTGTAGTCCCAGCTACTTGGGAGGCTGAGGCAGGAGGATCACTTGAGCCCAGGAGTTTGAGGTTGCTGTGAGCTAGGCTGACAACACGGCACTCACTCTAGCCCGGGCAAAAGAATGAGACTCTGTCTCAAAAAAAAAAAAAAGACTATACTGGCCCCTAAATATAAATATGAAAGGCAATAAAGATAATGAGACATAGTTCTTTCCTTTTAATTAGAAAATCATGGCTGAGGTAGAACATTGCTCTAAAACCACCTCATATGTATGAGTTTATAAAGGGGAAATTGCACAGGTGATTAAATAATTTTTTCTCTCTCTGCAAGTGCCTAATCTAGTAAAGGGACATATTTCTCTCGACTACCAGAACCAAACAAGTGATTATTTCTGACAACATCCATCTGCACCCTCAGCTCAGTTGGAATCTGTTGCCATGTTGCACTCAGGAGAAGCACCGGGATGATACTGACTTGAAGGCTCATAGGCTGCCACATCTTAAGGTTCACAATCCAGTGCAAGTAATACAACATTTGTGCACGAACCGCTAATATATGTAGAATTATTTAATAACTATATATCGGAATCATTTTATTATCCCACCTGTATTGTAGGCCATATGCTAAAAAGAGATAAAAATATTAGAAAAAGTAACATAGATAAGAATTTTAATATTTTCTCATCCCATGGAATGTGGGCCTCAACACCTCTAATTCATGGCACCTCTCTGTAAATGACTATCACATACTGGAAAAAGAGTGTATTTGCTAGATCATCATGTGGAATCCTTCAGTGCAGACTTTGGAAGGCATTGGTGCTGAGGCTGGACTCGGGAGGAATACGGTCTCCATAGATTGGGGTTAACGGATAAAGTCAGTTAAATATAAATTTCAGATAAAGAATAATACATACATATATATTATAATAGCTCTGCATATAAATACTGCATAAAATACCCACATATTTCATAAGTGTATTAAAAAACATATTTACTATCTTTCCAAATTTTAAACTTATCTATGGATCCTGTATTTTCATTTGGTGAATCTGACAACCCTACATAAAACAATCATGGGATCTGAAAAACTGTTGCAGACCTGGAAAAAAAGAAATAGAAGAAAAAAACTCATAGAGGTCATACAGGTTGGTCTGAGTGTAACAGACACTTATGTGCTATCTAATCCCATAAAAACTTATCAATCTGAAGTCACATCTCAGCACTCTCTGTGAAATGTGACAAGGTTGGTTTTGCACTGAGGCTGAAGCCCTTGAGTACTGTCAGAGATATTGCAGGTCAAGTTTACCTTCATTATTCTCACTTTTATCTTACGCTATTCTTTTTTTTTTTAAGTGATATCTCATTGTGGTTTTTTTTATTATTTCAGCATATTATGGGGGTACAAATGTTTAGGTTACGTGTATTGTCCTTTCCCCCCCTACCCACCCCCAGTCAGAGCTTCAAGTGTGTCCATCCCCCACATGGTGCGCATCACACTCATTATGTGTGTATATACCCATCCTCTCCTCCCCACTCCCATCTGCCCGACGTCCGGTAAATGTTATTCCTATATGTGCACTTAGGTGTTGATCAGTGAAACCAATTTGATGGTGAGCACATGTGGTGCTTACTTTTCCATTCTTGGGATACTTCACTTAGTAGAATGCGTTCCAGCTCTATCCAGGAAAATACAGGAGGTGCTAGATCACCATTGTTTCTTATAGCTGAATAGTACTCCATGGTATACATATACCACATTTTATTAATCCACTCAAGTATTGATGGGCACTTGGGTTGTTTCCACATCTTTGCAACTGTGAATTGTGCTGCTATAAATATTCAAGTGCAGATGTCTTTTTTATAGAATGTCTTTTGTTCTTTTGGGTAGATGCCCAGTAATGGGATTGCTGGATCAAATGGTAGATCTACTTGTATCTCTTTGAGGTATCTCCATATTGCTTTCCACAGAGGTTGCACTAGTTTGCAGTCCCACCAACAGTATATGAGTGCTCCTACCTCTCTGCATCCAACCCAACATTTGTTGTTTTGGGACTTTTTGATAAAGGCCATTCTCACTGGAGATAAATGCTATCTCCTTGTGGTTTTGATTTGCATTTCCCTGATAATTAAGAGATGTTGAGCATTTTTTCATATGTTTGTTGGCCATTATTCTGTCTTCTTTTGAAAAGTTTCTGTTCATGTCCTTTACCTACTTTTTGATAGGGTTGTTTGATTTTTTTCTTGCTGGTTTTCCTGAGTTCTAAATAGATTCTAGTTATGAGCATTATATTTCTACTATTCAAATTATTAATGCTATGTATCTCTCATTGTTTTACTTCTTCCAAGAAATTTAAAATTATGGTAGTCCAAAGACTAGAGGTAATAAAATAAGCAACAGCAGCCATATAAATCAATGACTTGACTGAAGTCTCATTCTTGGCACTCTGTGACGCCATCCCAAGTTTGCTTTTGGCTTCTCTTAAAATTTCTCACTGAGATATCTCCTCTTCCCCACTTTCCCACTGTGGGACAGGACTGCCTGAGAATGAGAATTCCTGGTAATGAGGGACACCCAGACACTCAAACTTTGAGCACAACGCTTATGAAATATTTTGATTAAAAGGGAGAAATAAGAAAGAAACTTTTTGTCTGAAACATACAGGGCTCCTCTAAATTATCAGGCTCGGAGAGGCACAGAAATGAGGCTGCAGTCATGTCCCACTCCCCTCCTTGGCTCTTGAGCTAATTAATCATCTCTAGAAACTGCTTGCTATGTGGACTCTAGACTGATTGGCACCATAAGTAACTATAAATTAACCTAAAACGCCACATGCTGAACACCATGACTCATACTGCATAGTTCAAAAACGTACAGCCAATCACTAATCAATGTTTATGTAAATCAATAAGAATTCTTGACAAACAAGTTGCACTGGCCAACTGCATATCCCCCTTTTTGCCTTTAAAAACCTGCTTATACCAAACACCAAAAGGATCTCATAGCCAAGGTTACTTTGGTGTGTACTTACTCTGACTCAGGTAAACTCACTAAAATTGTATATTTTGCCTCGGTTTCTTCCTTTAGGTTCAAAAATTCACAAAGTATTAGCACATGGGGGACAAAACCAAAAATGGCCTTATCAACAGCATCAAAAAATAAACTTGGGCCGGGTGCGGTGGCTCACGCCTGTAATCCTAGCTCTCTGGGAGGCTGAGGCGGGCGGATTGTTTGAGCTCAGAGCGAGACCCCGTCTCTACTAAAATTAGAAAGAAATTAATCGGACAACTAAAAATACATAGAAAAAATTAGCCGGGCATGGTGGCGCATGCCTGTAGTCCCAGCTACTCGGGAGGCTGAGGCAGGAGGATTGCTTGAGCCCAGGAGTTTGAGGTTGCTGTGAGCTAGGATGACGCCATGGCGCTCTAGCCCGGGCAAAAGAGTGAGACTCTGTCTCAAAAAACAAAAACAAAACAAAAAAAACCTTGAAACAAAGTCCCATTAGGAGTGGCATGTGTGAGCGAACCGGGTGAGTCACAGCCTCAGCAGAATGTGTGCCACAGACTGAGGCAGAGAAGCCACAGAAAAACCTTTAGAGCGTATTACTGACAGAATATTAAAGGTAACATTAAATTACTGAGAACTCAAAGAGGCAAAACTGAGCAAACCTCTGCTTCATGATAGATATTTAAGCTACAAAGAATAACAAAAAACATCAGGATGGCAGTCGCCTCTGGGTGCAGAAGGTAGATGAGATTGGGGGCACACCATGGCTGCCTCAGAGGGTTTATTCACCTGGATGGTAGTCCGTGTGTGTTCATACTTTTATTACTTAAATCCT